AATTGCTAATTATATTCTGGGTTTGTATTGTAACATGTTACTATGCATTGAAATTTAATTTTTGCATTCTGTGTTGTGGTAACTAGTAGCTGTGATTTTGGTATGAAATGTATGTCTGTTAGGGATATTAATATGTACTGCATTATTTAACTTCTCATCTTTGTTAAAGGGTTTGATTTGTATTTGAATGTGTTTTCATGGTTACTGTATACTGCGTCTGTTTTTTATTTGTTTATTATGTAGTTACTACTACATAGGTTTTATTTTCTTTGTTAAAGGGGTTTACCTATGATATTATTTTTATTTGTTTATTATGTAGTTACTACTACATAGGTTTTATTTCCTTTGTTAAAGGGGTTTACCTATGATATTATTTTTATTTGTTTATTATGTAGTTACTACTACATAGGTTTTATTTTCTTTGTTAAAGGGGTTTACCTATGATATTATTTTTATTTGTTTATTATGTAGTTACTACTACATAGGTTTTATTTCCTTTGTTAAAGGGGTTTACCTATGATATTATTGTAATCGTTGTTAAAGGGTTTTTCTGTCTGTGATATGGTCTACGTTAAAGGGTATTTTCCATGTGTGACGTAATACTAAAAAGGGTTGTATGTAATGTATTTCAGTTGCTTGTGATTGCTTCTCTGTGTTTAAATGGTTTATTTTCTTTTACATGTATTGTGTTTAAACTTCATACTGATTTTATTTTTGTCATATAACTAATGTTTCACTGTTTAAAAGTTCACTGTGAAAATTAAATCGTAATCTTTGTTAAGGAGTTTGTTCTGTGTTTGTGATTTTGTTGATGTGCCAACTATTGTTCTGTAATTCTTTGTTTTATTATTATACAGTTGAAAAGAGCTATTTCATGTTTTGATTTTTTAGTGTAATTGGTGTATTATGTTTCTTAAAGAGCTGTTCGTTATTTATTATAAATAATGTATTAAAGATTATCTATGATGTATCAGTTTGTATTTGCATCTATGTTAAAGTTTTTCTTAATGAATTGTATTATTTGTTAAAGGTTGTGTCGCCTGTATTACAGATTACAGTATTCTTTGGCCAGGACAGTATATAGGTTTTACTGGTATTAAAGTTAAACTTAAATGTCGGCTTGAGAACAAGCCTGAAGTAAGGGAAGTAGGAAAAGTGTGGTATATAAACAAATTAGGTGTTCCCTTATTTTAATACACGTATATTTTTTGAATTAGTTAGTCATTCTTATATGTGCACTTTTCACATAATATGAGACCAAGAAAGTCATTAAGTAGATTTCGTTTTATCTGCCTTTTTCCTTTTGAGATAACATATGGTTGGCCCATGGTGATATAGCTGTTGCGCAAGAATGTAGACAGCAGCATCCTCCAATGGCAGGTCAGGTGATATCTATGGTATTTTACTCGCAGTTTGAGGGTCGCGATTTCGAATTCCGTTCCCGAACCTTTCAGATGCGGGAGAGTTATAATGTAATAGTCAATCCCACTATTCAATGGTAAAGAGTTGACTATGTGTGGTATTGACTAATTGCCTTTCCTCTAGTCTATCACTTCAAAATTGCTACTCGAGGGCTGTCTGCACTATCGGTCCCTTTATAAAAAAACATGTGAAAATGATTAAGTCTGAAATTTTGGTGTGACTCGTTATATTTGCTTGGTAGACTTCAAACTTTTATCGACCTGGAGGTAAAAAGAGTAATATTTATCTCATTTTCAGGCCCTCAGTCTTCTACATTTTATAAAACAAAAACTTCACGTTAACTGTGTAATCAGTTGTTACGCAATGCTTATTACAACTAGTCTGTCTGCGACCCCATAAACTCTGTTGTAAACTTTGAGTTCTCCGGTTTGTTGTTTAACTTTTCTAACGTGATTAAATATTCAAAAATAGCTGTAGCAATACTTTTTTCTGGAATTTGATGAGTTGTATATTTTTTTGATATTAATGTTAATTGATTTAATTTAAATATTATGAACAACAAAACAAGGCACGCGTAAGTGGGAGGATTAAACTTTATTCTATAACAGGAGTTGTCTGCGGAAGATAAACCCACGAGGCAGTAGCATTACAAAGTCTGTGTGCTAGTTCCACGTGTGGAATTGATTGAAAATTGATATTAGAATGAGGTATGGGTGTGTTATAGTCTAGAGTTATCGTTTCCAGCCATCCATGAAAAGGTATCCGTCCTCATGTAACAGGGAAATATAAATAAGTTAGTTTACTAAATACAGTTTTATGTTTGTTATTAAGCCCAAATATACACAATGGGCTAACTGTGCATTTTCCAGTATTCCAAAAAACATAAATTACACTACGTTCTGAAAATTGAGAATAAATGGTTTGAGTATTCCTAGAAACAGGTTTAAACAGTAATAGGGATCTACAATTAACTGCTAGAACTAAATAATAAAACTTTTGATAGTGCACCAAGCTTTCTGACAAATGGCTTATAATTTGCAAAGGTATTTAGGCTGTTAATTTGTGTGTGTATATATATATTTGATAAAATACTTTTATGTTGTCAATTTGCGTATATATATATATATATCACAATATTTGTATTAATACCTTCCTCCATTTGGTGAACAGCAAGTAAAAGCTTCTAAAAATCACGTTGTTAGTATATAATTGGAAAAGATGATGAAATTATGTACAATGAGGAAACTCGAGGTGTTTATCTCTCACATGAATTGAACGTTGGCTGTAATAAACATGGCATTTGACCCTTTATTAATTTAAAGGTCATAATAATGACAAATTTTATAAGGTTAACATAATTCCAGTGTGTTGGGTATCTCATTTCGAACTAAAAAAGTAGGCTTACATGAGTATTGTATGCTGATAATTTTAGTTCTATTAGCTTAAGAAAAGAGAACCATTACGTATTTATTGTGTTCAGTTGCTGAATTTACAATTTTATGGAATTGTACAAGGTCCTCTAGAATTCTTCGCAAGAGCTGCGTTTTGTATACGAAGGGGGGAAAATTGATGAAAACTTGCCCAATTCTAATATTCTCGATTCCATGTGTGATTATTTATCGCTATAAGAATTTACATTTCCTATACAAGTTCGAATAGATTGCATTTCACGTTTTAAAAACTAATTAACTAAATGAAACAAAGTAATAATGCAGACAAAAAAAAATCGACCTGAAACAGTGCCCTATTTTTAATTAAAACTCTGCGGTAAAACAAGTCTTTTTGTTGTTCTATTTCGCCGAGGTCATAGTATACTAAGTATCATTTCCCTAATTCTTGATAGCGCAAGAACGGTTGAAAAATTTAAAGATGGCATAAAAATAAACAACATGGAGAATAGAATTAGCAGTAGGATATGTCGGTCCTCCACGAAAGCCTTAGTGAAGCTGTGGAAACTAGGCTTGTTTGTCTGAACCATGTGCGGACGGAGGAACTTGTTACGGTAATTGGATTCTCTACTATTTGGCGGTGATTTTCCAGGAGTAATCAAGTCAGCGTTTGTTTGTGGACTTACCGAGCAAAGTTAAGTTAATTGGGTATGCTACAGTCGCTGTAAAGTCTCCCAGAAAGGGCTAGTTAGTTTAATTTGTCAGCAAAAATCACATTCTTGTTCTGGTGGATAACAAGAGTTTATCTGGAGGTATAAAAACATATTACTGTTCCCTATTAAACTAAACAAGTAACAGTAGCCTGTGCTGTGAACAAACCATAAAGATCCTCATTAAAACCTTAATTAAGCACCGTATACGTTGTCTTTCTACGTTCTTGTGTTTATAATTAGTATGACCCTTTGACAAATTTCTGTTGCACCCTTGTTATGAAAGCAACCTCTTGTTAATATAACTGATGTGTTAAATGTTCTGTAAACTTTGCGGTGATATAATACAATGACGTTCTATCACATTTCAACACGATTAATATGTGATACTATTGTAAAAGCAATGTGTCAGACAAGTTTGTTTAAAAATCTGGTTGAACAGCTACATAAACATTTTCAATTTTAGTTTATTTTAGCATCCACTTGAGAAAAACGTGATTATTGTGATCATATTGTTTTGATTAAAAGATGACGAAACTTGTTATAATGTTTTCATGGCAATTAAACTAAGCACACCTTGGTAAATCAATTAGTGAAAGAGTTTGCTTATCCACTCGCATACACCCAGTACTCAAAATACCTTTCAAGGACTTTTAATTTAGTAAAGACATTATTTGAAATCGGTCCAATAAGCGTGCTCTTTAACAGCAAAAAGAAATAAAAAAATATACAACCATTCATGAAACAAGCCCAAAATTTTGTCATGAAACCATGATGTTCAAATACATTGACTAGATGTTTGTGTTACAGTGCATTTAAATAAACCAAGTTCGTTGTATGTATAGAAATATTGATTAACGTTTTAACAGATAATCAAGTCGAAGTATGGACAGTTTAAAAGATAGATGGCATGACTGACGCACAGTATGCCGGTGTGATTGACATCAAGAAGAAGATGGTGGATGAATATATGGTAGGACATAATGAATAACTGATGGTTGGCTAGTAACAAGAAGGCTTAAAGGTTGGAAAGCCTGTATAAGGCAATATAATGAATAACTGATGGTTGGCTAGTAGCAAGAAGGCTTTAAGGTTGGAAAGCCTGTATAAGGCAATATAATGAAAACCCCGATTTCTCATCAGATATTTTTAGAATCTAAAAGAGGGAAGTTTTTGAAGAACCTGACTGCTCAAACACCAAAAATAATAGATATATCGAGTTGGGATTTTGTTAAGCACAAAGCTACACAATGGGCTATCTGTGTTGTGCACACTACGAGTATCGAATCCCGGTTTTTAGCGCTGTAGGCCTACAAACTTACCAATGAGGAGCATATATATCGATATTATTTGCAATGTCAACCTTGCCGCTTGACGACATCAGGTGAAAATGATTGTCAATCAAGATTTCAAATAGGTGGTTCTTTAACAAAAAACAAAAACAAAAAATACTTCAACACGGGAATTTCGAAATTTTAAAATAAGATAAAACTGTGTTAGAGAGATAAATGGCTGTTAGATTTTTGGCTGAATAGACAGCTGAAGAATCTGGCTGGCAAATTAAGAAGGACAACAAAGTTGCGTCTTAAATATATAAGGGAAGCGTGTAATTTCTCCAATAAAGAAACAAATGGTATGTAATTCCAAATTATGCGTATAGTAACGTAACGTAAAGTAGGAGGTCGAATGGTATCCACTGGTAAAAATGAGGTAATGAATCATTCCTAGTTGGATAAGTTATGTAATGACAAAAACATCAAGTTTCTCACTACTAGTTGATACGTAAAATTTGTTTTAACACATTATTATAAATGCCACATTTCTCCTTTTAGATATATCCCATCACTTTTATTTTCTTGTAATATATACTGAATTTGTAATTTGGTCCTTAGTCAGGCAACACGTATCTAAATACTGGGCCTAATTATCAATAGAAAAGAGTTTGAAATTACTGTTCCAAGTAATACGCATACAAATATTTGACGCACAGGGAAATTATCAAACATATACCTATTTTAATTTTTAATAGAAAGCCACCAAACATTGTAGGAACATGTCGGCTACTCTTAGGTTTTCTTTTATCTTGTTATATCCTTGTTTTCAAACATGTGCCCGATTATTTGTATATTTATTTGCAGTTACGCACAACGTTATACAATGGGATATCTGTGTTGTGCTAACCACAGGTATCGAAACCCGGTTTTTAGTGTTATAAGTCTTCAGACTTACTGCTGTGCCACTGGGAGGCACATGCCTGAGTAAATCTTAATATTTGAATATTGCTACTACTACACAAAACAACTGCATGATAATCAGAATTTGTAATATCATAGCTAATGTAAGGGAAAACCATTATTGTCAAATAACTCAAACAGCCCAACAGTTCGCTGTCATGTGATGGTCTTTAAATGTAAATGATTGGTCATTTAACATATGCTATCTATATATATAGTCATCTCACGCAATGTTTTCTCATTTGTCGCAAGCCGTTAGCTCATAGGTAAGCTTCAGGGTTTATAACGCTAAAATTCATGGTTTGATCCCTGTGGCGGGCACAGCGCAGATAAGCCATTGTGTAACTTTATGCTAAATCAAAGAAATAATCTCATTTTCTCATTTCTTTGAAATGAACCTTAGAGTCTAAAATGCTCCAAGTTGTTTATTAACCTTAACTAAACCACCAAGACAACTTTCTGGGGTTTCACTCATGCCATCAGACTAGTAGAAGCCCCCCCCCCCCAATCAAAACAGGCTGTTGCAAATTGGCTATAGTTGTCTCAAAGGCTGTTAGCAGAATATGGAACACTTCCAAACTAATGGTCTGCTTTTTTCAGTTGTTCGAGGAAATGTACCATCATACATAACACAGGCAGACAACGGTAATCTGTATATTTTGGCACATCACAAGCGTAGAGTACCTACTCCGAAACTGAAGCAGTTTTTCACAGCCGCAACTGTTCACAATGTCGTGATACAGACGAACAGAAACAAAGTAATAATACACAAACCATGTATAAGCGAGATACCCAGTAATGTGTATTTTCCACTTGCAGCAACTCGCCTGCAATGATCACAAGTATTCAGGGCACCAACAAAATGTGCAGTATTATTCGTTATATAGATGAATCGTGTTTCACCCTGCAGTCGAATAACAAGGATGTAGTGATCCGGAAAGAATCTCAAACCAGGTCTAACCTCATTTTCATACAGGAGCGTGATGCGTATGGTGTTAATAAAAACATGGTGGGCGTAATGGTCTCTTCTTCCTGTACAATGGTATTATTGGAAACAGCATCTTACTATCCTTTGTGTTTTCATATGCTGGGAAACTTGGACCTGACTTCAGCCTCGTGTTCGATAACAACACCAATGTTAAGTAGGTGAACATATTCCTTTGAGAAGAGGGGGATCCAATCGGTCATGTAATGGAATGCTCTTGGAAGACGCGTCGTACCCCATCAACTAAATTCCAGTCGTATGAGACGCCCCGAAAACAGCTATTTCAGTGTATTCGTGAGAATGTCTCATAACCTTATTCATACTGCAATGTTAATTAAGCATGTAACATCGGTGCCAAGCTGCCCTTGCTATTCTATATTTCACATTGAAGTGATATTCCATGAACTACAAAGATATGAAGAAAATCATTTGAATTTCAGATCACATGTCATTAGATACGTGATTTGCATACGAATGAACTGCTGGGTGTGATGTGTGATTTAGAATATTTTATAACAGATTTTTCCTTGCCCTCACTAAAATATCGTGAATTCTCGGTATCTTTCAATTATTTTGTGAAATGTATGTAAACATATCTTACATGTAGCCTCGTTTAATTAAGAGCAGTGTATGTTTGTAAATTTTTCAAACGTTTCCAAAAGCTACAGATATTCTTGACAAACGAATTGTTGTCTTTTTGGAGTGAATCAACAATATGCATTACGTACGCGCATGTAAGTTGGCTTTCCTTTAACATTCCTTGCTTTGTCGCAAGATAACCCGAATCTGTGCAACTTACCTCACGGCCATGTCCAACGTTTTGTTGACATAACCATCCACATATTTTACATTATTAATAGTGCCTTTGTTTCACGAATTTCCTCTATTTACTTGTAGCTCGAAAACAACGCGAAACTTTTGTTATGCCGGAAGCTAAAATGTACTCTTGTGTAAAGTTAACAGCAAACAAATAAGCTATTTGAAACAGTGAGTCAGCTGTGGTCAATTAGGTTTCACCGAAAAGTGTACCTTAAAACTTTCAAACTCTGTTGTTAAAACAAAACTGACAATTTTCCAGCAACACCAATGAGATCTAGTTACAGAATTGAATAACCGTTACTGATCGTCAGCAACAGCTCCATTAAGGATTCATTTGACCGAAATATAATGTTACATTGTGAGTCACTATAATACAAGGATCTGTGAGCGTGCAACGTTTAAAACTCCTGGCCATTCATTATCTGAATATGTGTGTGTATGTGTG